ATGACAAATTAACTCGTCCAGTCACTCCCGGCTTTATTGGGTACAATGTGGGAGATTTCTGTCTGAACCGTGCTAGATGCTGCACCTACTTCTGGCTGTTGCTTGTCTGTGTTCATAATACAATTTCCCTACAGAGGGATTTCCATCCACTAGGCTTAAAAGATTTGAAGAAATCTGTTGTCTTATCAAGAGCCTTAATCCAACTCCATGTAACTGGCGTTTGCTTTTGTCTTCCTGAAGTTCTCACGTTTTTATTGCTTCACTTCTTCCTTCATGATCACTCCTATTCACAAAGACCATGTAATTTGCAATGTTTAGTTCATATCAGATTTTTTTTTTTATTTTTTTCACAGCCAGTTCACTACATCTCTGAAAAACACACTGTTCATCTTTTAGAACTATTTTCCTTTTAACCCTTGCAAATCTGCCTCTTCGGATTTCCCTGTGAATAAAGATTTGGTTCAGATTTCTTTAAGCAACTGCATTACTTCCATTGGTGACACTATCCTTCCTCATACTTTCTATTATTACTTCTTGTAGCTTTTCCCCAAGCAAGTTTTATCTGCATCTTTTTCTGAGAGCAGTTGCTTTTTGTTCCCTTTCTTCATGCAGTTTTGTTCTTCTCTGTCTTTCCACTACATGTTTGGAAGTCATCAGCAGTTCTTGCAAACCTATTAAATTTGAATTCAAAGCTGGTTGTGCATTAAACTATCCCTCAGTAGACTATGGGTTTTTTTTGAATAGTAGTTGTTGGTTATCTTGCTTACTTCAAGAATTCCAAAGCGGTGCTGTAGAAGCTTACTTTTCTAATTTGTTATGAAACTTCCCAGAGAAACTTTGTATTCTCATGACTTACAGTAAAAGCCAAATGCAGCAAAAGCTGTAACTAAGACGGTTTGTTTCTTTAGCTTATTTCTAATGGTCTTTTTTGTTTCATATAACTTTTTTTAAAATATATTTCGGTGAAGTTTGACTTGTCATTCAACTTCAACCTGAAATGTCAGCCAACTGCTCTTTGTTCCTAGTCTCTGTTTTGACTTGAGCAGGGTTATTAAGAGTCACAATCCACTGAAACAGCTTACACTGATAAACAAGAAACCTGCCTGCAGCCATTTCTTAAAAATCTGGAACAAATTCTTAAGTGGGCTGCAGTGTTCTACCTTTATTAACACCTTTTTCCACATAACTGCATCGAAAGATTTTCACTTATGCGCCTTTTAAGATCTGAAGCTTAGAGAGAGAATGGCATAAATATAACTACACAAAAATCAAGCAAAAATAAGGTTCTAGCTACCTTTCTTTGTCTTGTAGGGTCCTCCGTTGGGTTGTATATCTTGTAATGGGATGGATATTACCTTGGCTAGGCCAGCATTCATCATATACTGATACAGACGTTTAAAAGTTCTCTCACAAAGACCCTAATGCAAAGAGAAATGGCAAGAGTCATTGTAGTCCAAAAGCCTCACCTGTAGGTGATTGGTATCAAAGACACTCATACTGCCTGTTCCTAAAACACCGTGTTTTGGGGTAGGGTATCAAAGGAGGATCTTAAAAGCCTGCTAATGCTGACACCAGGCACAGTGTGAGATACTTCTGGAGTGTGTTCTGTCCCACCAACTCTACCTTCCAAACAAGCAGCAGTAACTTGATCTAGTAGGTGTTGAAGATCCTTCTTTTGAGATCCTACCCCCAAATTTTGTGCAACTTTAAAAACACAGGCAGTATGAATGACTGGCTTTGCTACTGATCACCTAGATTCTGTATGGGTAAGAATTTAAGAGAGTAATGAATCTCACCAATTCGTCCCTCAAGTTTCCTAATGTTTCCATCTGGTTTGAACGAGCACTTAGCATACTTGAGAGCTTCTCCATCAGAATATCGTATTTGCTCCTCCTAAGCAAGAAAATTATTTTAAATGTAAGCATGCATGTAACTTTATAAACAGAAGTTACACCTTATACAAAACATATACAATTTGTCAGTCACTAGCTAAAGTATGCTTAAGTGTTCTCAGCTTGTTTTAAGAATTATAGTTTTCTTTTCCTTCTGCAAATAGCACATGAGAATTTGTCACTAAGAAGAGACCCTGAAGGAACAGTTACTCAGCCCGGACTGTTATTTCATTGGCAATACACAGAAGCACAAGTTAGTCATAGACAAAATAGGAAAACAAAAAACGATAAATGTGTTTTAAGTGAGAACACTCAAAATTAACAGAATGATTGGTGCCACAGTAAGAAGAGTTAGGCTTATGTAGGCAGGTGACAGGCACTAGAATACCCTGGTGTTTACAGCTCCAAGACAAGCTTAGAACTATCCAGCATTATGGAGAGGAGTTAATAAAGAAACTGAGAAGAGTTAATACCGAGAAACTTTGATGATCTGTGGCAATAGAGCAAACTTCCATCACAGTAAAAGGTCACAGTCTACCCAGGAGATCTTTCAAACGTCTGAGTAGCACATACCTATCGACATGAAAGCGAGTCAGAAGTAGAAGAATTGAGTGTTGCTGTGCTCCACTTGGTAGTCTTATGACATGGGACTGCATCGTTATGAGACCATTTCTGTCCAGTACTCTTCGGTGATAATGAATTTTTCCAGCATCCACCCTAAAGAGAAGATGGCAAGATATCTATAGGCACAGGAACTTCTGCAAATAAACTCTAATTATCCAGTATCCCAAAACGCTTTACCTAAGGTATCTATGGTCTTAGTGACATGTTAATTTATAAAGTGATGATCTGAAAATTAGGAAGCGCCAAAATTAAGATAACCTGTGAAATTGATTTTCATAGTTAATCCAAGTAAATAAGAGAAAATACCTCCAGTTTTAACTCTCCAGTCTCTATGCACAATCGGAGTGTCATGACATGGTTTGATCAGACAGCTGAACTAGTAATGCATCCCCAGGCTCTCCTCCTCCATCCTTTCTGTCTAACTCCTGGCCACACCACAACCAGTGCCCCCCCTGGTATTCATCTCATTCCTTGGTGAGCTGACTCAGGCCACTGAACTGACAGAAAAGTATCCACACAAGATTTCTCCTCTGCCCCCACCATTTTAGTTACCTAAAAGAACTTCCTAAGTGGCAAAAAACAATGCCAGGGTGGTTTGCAAGCTACATACACGGCACCTCCTAAAAGCAGTGAATCCTTAACAGCAATACTAATATTCTCCAGCACTGCAGTACAAAACCACAAGTTCTCCAAGAGGCTGTGCAATGCTCCTCCATCAATGAAATACATGGTCTGATCCGGGAGCTGGTAACTCGGGCTCCCATTCAGGTCATACAGAGGAAGATGTAACACTGGGCAAATACTGGGGATAAAAGGTGGGCGTCCGAGAACCTCTTCAAAACTCAGGCAGGATAAGATGCTTCCTTAGCAGTTTAGAAAAGGAAATAGAAAGCATTGTTCCATCTCAAATTTGAAGAAAAAGCTATTTGGAGAAAGCAATAAGTTTCACAAAATCAAAACTTCTGTACTGACCCAACAGACAATCTCTGGTTCCATGAGAAAATATCAGGAAGTATAATGAACTCAAGGAAGAGATCAGTATACTGCTAGAAGTACAGGCCCCAAGAACCAAGTGCTCCTGGTAGTAAGGATGAGACACTACCAACACAGATAGGAGTTTAAATTGATACACAGGAATTCTTAAGCAGACAGATCTTTATAAATAACCAGTGGAAACTTACTGGCTTTGATTTAATTCATACAGCAAGGTGCACACTTACTTGAAAGCCCCGCTGTGAAGGTCCCTCTGAAGCTCCCCTTGCCACCTAGCACGACCTAAACGTTCCAATATACAGTAGGAGAAGTCGGGGAGTTTTAAGTCAGGGTCCCCCTCCCAGCCTATCAGAGCTCTGTAACGCTGGTCCTGGGAAGCAACAATGACTAGTTTCTCTCCCCATCTAAGAAACAGAAGGGAAAGTAACAAATTATTCTTAGTGCCACAAAAACACAGAGGTCAATCACTTTGGCCCCACGAACACAATCCTTAATATAATCTGCAAAAACTGAGGATTAAATTCTAAAACTTAAGTTAAAAATCTTTTCATGCCAGATATAAAGGATTTCACTCACTTTTCAACAGCTTCTGTATAAGTATAACAAGGCTGCAAATCCTTCCTCCTTATTTGATCAGTGATATCTACTCTCTCTTTAAAATACTGGCAGGAACCTTGTATGCCATCTTTATTATCCAAAATCATATGGACAGGATAAATATCATCTGAAGAAACAGGATCTCTTTTGGTTTCCAGTATTCCTGTCTCAAGGTCTATTTCTTCATATCTGAAATAAAAGCAGAGAGCCAACACTTAACCAAGCAAGGGGAATTTGGAACTGAAACATAAGATTGTCACAAACCACGTCGATACCTCTATGAAATATCTTGGACAAGTGAAACTTTTTGGAAAATTCAAAACTGGAAAAAATACAAAGAGCAGAGTTGTGTTCCTCAAGTATGACCAAACATTATCAGCATTCAGTGTGTATGAGGCAGGAGGAGAGGAATACCTCTGACCTTCAAAAATTCAAGGATATTGAAGTGGCAAGAATAAACATACAGAAATACAAGTTTACAGAAAAGGAAAACAACAGGTACATCCACCCTGATGAACTGGGACTTATAAATCCCGCTTGTACCCAAGCGGTAAACAGTCACTGGAACGGAAACCCTGCCGGGACTCCCATGCAGGCCTCCTAAAGAGCGGGTTTCAGAGCCACCCGCCGCCTGCCTGCCCTCAGCCAGCTACTGAAGAGCCCTTTCAGCAAAACCTGAGCGGCTCCGGAACGCGAGCAGAGCCGCCGGGGCGGCCGGAGCGCCAGGCCCGAGTGAGCCCCGGCAGCGGGGCAAGCCCTCAGCGAGCGCCCTGCGGAGCAACCCCGCCCGGCGGGAAG